GCTCGGTGGGAACCAGTGTTGCAGATCTGGCCACTGGTTTTGTTTGTTGGTTCTTAATTCTGCCCCCTTAGCTCCATGAGTAGATTAGTGAGATGAGGAGATAGCGTCTCTGGTTTCCTGTCTTTCCCAGTTCAAGGGTGTGGTGGCTGGCACTTGAGAATCACATGAACAGAAGGCCCTGACTTTCTTATCTGATTCTCAGATTACACCCCGTTTTCACATGTGATGGAGTGTCCACTGAGTTGATTTGATCATACGATTGTGCACACGAGGTCCCTGTGATTTCCGAATTAGCAAGCAGTAAACACTTGCCAGACTTAGTACAAGTATTTCTACTTGGAAGTCTCAGCCCATGTGGCAGGGGCCAGTGATTTGGGGAACTAAGTACTTTCTCTCGGGGCATAAAGTATATACATTTCGTGGAAAGAGAAGAGGTGGCCAGCACTGCATAACTGTTAGTCTTCTGTCCTTCTCTGATTTCTAAGTTAGGTTTGGATCTGAATCGAGAACTTCAAAACCAATGAAGTAAAACAAAACACATCTAGCTGCGAACAGAAAAATGAACTGTGAAACTGAATATGAGACAAAACCTTAAGAACTGACGATGACTAAATGTTTAAAAAGTTTTTGTAATTAACTAGCTCCGTACTTGTGGTACTTCAGTGTTGAAACCCTGGCCTTTCTTCTGTTTCACCTGGGAAGTTCCTGAATTGAGACTATTTTAATCCAGTCAGTTCATGTTATTCTCAAATATTATATAAGATTAATTATTAACGATCTATTTCATTGACATCTGCAATTCTAAGGAATTGTATTTTTTCTAGCTAGTGTTTCTAGGTTTCCACCTTTTGTAATTGAGAGTGTGAGCTCTTTCCCTGTGTTTAGTTGTCAGCATATTGTGGTGCTGACGTACATTCAACGTACAACATCAGAACTCAGATGGAATGTAACCTGTGAATGTGTGTGCGTGTGTGTGTAATGGATGTGTGTCTGTTGCATGGAATATAAAGTTACAACTCATGGGTCATATTCCTTCAGAAAAGTAGCATAAAATATCATTTCTTTGGGGAAAAGAAAGCATGCAAACCATAGAAGGGAAAATGCAATGGAATGAGAATTTTCTGATGTCTTGGCAATCAGACGTCAGGTGTCTTTAACGGAAGAATGATTTCCCATCCTCTCGCAGCCTCTGTTCCCCAAGAAGAACTATGAATGCCTGACCAGCTGTGAGTTCCTCAAGTACATCCTGTCGGTGAAGCAGGGCGATTGCCCAGCCCCCGAGAAAGCCAGCGGCTTTGCTGCCGCCTGCGTTGAAAGCTGTGAAGTGGACAACGAGTGCTCGGGGGTGAAGAAGTGCTGTTCCAATGGCTGTGGACACACCTGCCAGGTGCCCAAGACCCTGTACAAAGGTGAGGGGCAGAGCAGGGGACACACAGGGACCTTACCATCACGGTTCGTGTGCGCGTGGGGGAGGGTGTCAATCAAAGATGCGACTGTTGCAAGAAAAGTCGGAGCTTTAAGAAACTCTACTCTGTGCTACAATCATCTGAAAATATTCACTGGACCATAGGACTCAGCCGCAGTGAACCCAGATTGGGGCAGAGCAAAGCATTCACCTGAATTCTTTTTTTTAAATTTATTTTTTAATTGAAGTATGATTGATTCGCAGTATTATTAGTTTTCAGGTGCACTGCATCGTGATTCAGTATTTTTATGGATGATACTCCATTGAAAGTTACAACAAAATAATAGCTCTGGCCTATGAATCCTTTCAAACTTTACCACCTAGGAAGGCCACCATCAGCTTGGGAACCTTGTGTTTTTCTCCAGTGCCAGTGAATCAGCTAAGCTCCACTGGCTACCCTGGGGTCAGTAGATTTAAATCCCTGGAAAAAAGGGCTGGGGATGGAGCACAGTTGAAAAACACATAATGAATGCAGGAGTCTCGTGGTTTTCCTGTTGTGATCCAAGAATAGTAGTGAGTCTGCAGGGACTTTGAATGTCTGGATTAGTGTCTCAGGATTCTAGGTGGAGGAACTGCTGTCTTCCAAAAGATGGGGAATGCAACTTACCAAACAAGTTAGCGGGTGTAAGTTTACACTCATAGGCAGCTTCTAGAGCATGTAAAGCCTTCACGCTGAGTGTTTCTGGCCTGTTTCTGTAAACGTGGCTGAGTTCTTTTATGTCAGACCAACGCTGTTGTACAGTTTGGGGTATCATCCAGGTACACTGTGAGAGATGTAAGAGTTTGTTACTTTTTGGGTCTAACTTGAAGACGAAAGTAGAACACATCAGGAGACGTCATTCACGACCAGTAGAAAATGTCTCACCTCCTCTCTCTCACTTGCACTCACACACGTCAAGTGTACGTTGTTGCAATGCTGGTGTTTGATTCCATGCTTGCTGACTATTTTCAGAAGGCCATTCTTACCTAACAGTTGACATCTCCTGGAATTCACGTACCTGCCCCATCTTCCTCTGGCTCCCACTTGGAAATACTCTCATCTGAAATCTGTATAATCCATACAGTTTTCCATTTTTTTTTCTGTGATATGCTTGGAAACCTGGCACAAATACTGTCTCAAATTCAAAATCATGGCTGCTTTCCTTAACAGACTGAACATTTTTTCAATGGATTCAAAGTTTTACTGTTTCTGTACCTTTTATTGTAAACTACATAAAAATCACTTCCACAGAAATCTACTCCCATTTAAGTTTTTAAAAATCTACTATTATGAAACCTTTTCTGTGGTTATAGATCATTTGCTGTTTAAATGTTAGCATTTACCATAAAAATAGGATGCTTTAGAATGATTGTTGAAAACCCATTTGTGAAACCTTTATTGTTGTAAAAGTAGGGCATTTAAAAGAGGCAATATAAAATAAAATAGGCTTTTCATGTGAAGCACTGAAGTCAGTATAAACTTCAAGTATATTCTGGTTCACCGAGAAGAGGGGAAATATTCTACAAAGGGCCAACGTAAATGATTAATTATTGAAAGATACCTACAGTTTAAACCCACGCTTAGCTAAATAGGATGGATTTTTGCTAAAGTCACCTTTCTACTGCAGGTAGCTCTTTTTTTAATTGAAGTAGAGTCAGCTTACAGTGTTAGTTTCCGATGCACAGCCTAGTGATTCAGTTACACATACATATATTCCTTTGCATATTTTTTCATTATAGGCCATTACAAGGCATTGAATATAGTTCCCTGTGGTCCACAGTAGGACCTTGTTGTTTATCTATTTTACATACGGTAGTTTGTATCTGCTAATTCTGAACTCCCAATTTATCCCTCAACCCCGTTTCTTTTTTTTTTTCTTTTGTGTATTCAGTCTTCTCTAAACTATACTCTTAAAATTTTTAAATTTTATTGTTTTTATTGAAGTACAGTCAGTTACAAATCCCTCTACTCCCTTTGGCCCAAGTAACCCTTGACTTGGACGTTTGTGGAGAGACAGTTCACGGAGCACTAACCACAGACAGAGTCAACAGACCCCTGTTGACCTGACAGCGACTTTTGCATAATAAGTTTAAGGATCGCGGTGTCGTCAAGTCTTAGACATTCTTTCCTTGCCGTCTGCAGCAGCTCCTGAAGGAGGGCTGGCCTCCGAGTCCCCGGAGCATCTGTCAGTATTCAGTGAGCCCCAAGAGGGGCTCCGGGAGAGCTTTCTGCACCCCTGCAGGGACAATCTCAGGTCCTTATGGGCCACTCGAAGTCCCTGATGGCGCTCCCAACCTGGAGCCAGGCTGCCTGCTCACTCTCCAAAGAGGATTCTGGTGCTCTATCCAGCTACCATAATAGGACCCTAAACTTCAACCTCTCTTTGGGCTCCACTGTATTATTATAGGTCAATTAAAAGATCTATCAGTATCAAATAGTTTAAGTCTAATATAATCACTGATTTAGCGGTTGTTTTAGGCTAATGAATAACATGGAGATTTTTTTTTTCTCTGATCTTAATTTTCTACTAATTTGTGGAATTTTTTAAATAAGATTCAGAGCACACCCTACAAAGAACCAGATTCTGTTGGACAAACCTGTAAATTCCTCCTGTCCTCATCCATTCCTGATTTACTTATTGAAGTGTCATCTCATAGGAAATCCCAAAGAGCATGCCCTTAATGTCCTCCGTATTTAAAACGGACAGATGTCACCTGGGTTTACTGAGCATTTCAGCTCAGTGAGTATTTACGGACTCTTTGTGAGGGGTCATGAGGAGAGCTGGCTGTGCGCCGTGCTGGGCACTGCGGGGCAGAGTCACTAGGACACCAGCCCGTACCGGGTCCAGGAGTTCCTTGTCAAGGGGGCTGTGCACACACACTCATTTAAATGGGCCAATCCCTTTCTTAACTTTTGCCATAAATTGAGATGTACCACCGCCCGTCCTATTTCTCCTTTCCAGGCTTCTTGGGTTAATGAAAAATTTTCAAAATACATGGAAACACATATGCACGTTGGTCCTTGTTTGTGGAAGAGAAGAGGGGGTGAGGGCTGGACTGGTTTTCTAGCTTCAAAAGCTTTATATGCTGGAAGCTTGAGTTTTTAAAA